CCGCGCCTGCCGTGGTGAGTCCCTCAGGGGCCTGCTGGGACACCCCTCCAGCCGAGCCTTGTAGGAAGCTGTAGTCAAGCCGCGTGCTCGCGTATGGAAAAGCGAGTGCTGGCGCTCGCAGCGGCCGGGCTGGGGCATCAGCAGAGGCCGGAAGGGAGTGATACTGCCTCGGCTATGGGGCACCTCCGGGTCGGCAGCGCCGGGGAGCGCAGGGGGCTTTCCCAGCGCTGGCTTCAGGGAGAGTAAAGTATTGGAGGTTGTAGCAGCCTCGGTAGGCGAGTCGAGTTGAGTCGTGAGCAGCGTCGTGCCTTATCGTGGGCTTTTCACATGCCCTTGAGGCCTCTGGCCCTCTCGGCCCCACTCTTACGTAAAACGGGTGCGTCATGCCCTTGTTGGGATGAAGCTTGCAGTAATTATCTAAAATGAACCGTGGTCTTAGAGGATTTGCTTTGGTCTGAGAAGTGAGCCCTGGCTTTTCTTTTGGCACACAGACTTCATGAAACTTAAATTCTGACCCTTTCCGTGAAATTACTTATGGTTGAGTTGCAGCAATTACCTTTTTCTATAATTTTTTTTTTAAATGTGTGTATGGATTAGTAGGGAAATTGTCCTCTAAACATGCTGATTAAGTTTCACTTTACTGCTCCAGTGTCACTAAAGCTTAGGAAACACTGCTCATCTTGTACCCTGAATTTATTGTGGTTTGTTATGAGTCATAATCAGTAAGTTCACTAAGCTGTGTTGATTTGGGGGGGCTTTTGTCACATTAGCAACAACTAGTCATTATTAAGGACTTATCTGACTTTTCTGGTGAAATTGTTCATCTCTAAGGTTCAAATCAGTGCATGAACCACATGTGCAGATGCTTCTGTACTGTAGAGGACTAAATTAAAAGTAAAAGATTTTATGGAATGAACAGTTTTATTAAATATTATCATTTTATTAAGATATTTGTTACTCATATATGATTAATCATACATTGCATGACTTGATTTACCAGCACAACTTTCTTTTTCTTTTAATGAGTGCTTTCCAAAGCAGACAGTTTGCTTGTTGCATTTGTGTTTGGAGGAGTTATATACCCTCTTTCACAAAAGTGTTTGCTGCCTAAAAGAAACTGGTTAATAATACAGATTGGACTGTACTGCAAACAACTCTGCTTTTGGCTCATCTTTTGAAATGGAAACTTGCCTACCTAGGATGATTTCTTAATAGATTTTTTACATATTTATTTTGTAATTAGTCTGTTTTCAATGTTGCAAAAATTAAGATTCTTCTTTGTAAAATGTTTTATACGACGTATGCTTTTCTACGTAATTTCTGTAGTAAATTGCTTTTAATGTGTAATGCATACAGTTCAATGTTTCTCGGTAAGAGTACACAGAGTGAAATGAAATGGAAACACTGGCTAATAGTTTTGTAGTGGTCTGTATTCTTTTATCAATACTTGTTTCTTATAGGTTTTGTGTGAGTAGAACAGGACTTAATGTATCAGTAGGCTAATCTTATCAAATAGCTTTGTACCTTTTTTTTTTTTTTGCCCCCTTAAGATCATCTAGAGATCTTTAGGAAAAGTGCATACTGGATTGTATTGGGGAAAAAACCCTAATATTGGGATGAATCTTAAAAGTGGATGCTTGAAGGGAAGCAGTGAAAGCATTGCTGTGTACTCCTATCTTGTAATTCCTAAACATGGGTAAAATAGCACAGATCCATACTTGAAAGCTGACTTTCCGTAACTTATGCTATACCACTCTTCCTTCTTTTTTCTTCCAAAATGGTTGTCTGAAACATCTTTATTTTCTCCCCCTTATTAGGATGGCAGGCTTCAATGAAAAGTGGAAGTCTGTCTTGTCTTTTGCCATGCAATCGTCTGCCTGTGCAGTTGATGAGTCAAGTGAGAGTTTATACCTCCAATGGCCAGAAAAAAGGTCTCGGATCAGAAGATAAAAATGGATCAACTCCTGAAGAAACCCTGCGCAAAGCTAGGACAGGTATTACCAAACTAAAATAAAGATTATTTATATAAATGTAAAAACATTATGTATTTAACAATTGATAACTTCTTTTTTCAGTTGTGTGATATTACGGTTGCAGAATTCTTAGTATTTGTTGCTTGTGGGCATTGTATATAAATTTCGAAAGTGTAAGCAGAGAGTAATGCTGGAATTTATTTCTTTGCCATTCCAGTATTTAAAGGATTTAAGTTTAGAGTAATCAAATTTAAAGTGTAGGTGATAAAATGTGGATGTCAGAAGGGATTAAGTAGTTTAAAGTATAAAAAATGAAATGTATTACTTATCTTTTACCATTTTTCTTGCTGACTTGAATTCTTTTTGTGGTACTTCAGGTTTGTGGTGTGAAATGAACTAGATTGAATGAGCATGAATACTGAGCCCTGTGACTTCTATAGGTCAGGCTATAGATGACTGCTAAAGAAGGTTGAGCTGTTTCATCTGCTAGAGCTTTCTAATCTGACAGTTGTAAGAACTACAGCATTGACATTGAACACTTGATATAATGGACATAACCTGACCCTCCGTGCTGTTCAGTTTCGTTGTCAATCTTGGGCTAGTTAGGTGCTTGTGAAATTCAGAACTGTTTTGTCCTTGCTCCCTTGTAGCATCCTCTGTTTTTTCTGCTTATTAAGTGTAGGACTGCACGGATGTGTGTTTGGGAGACTACTGTGCTTAATACTTTTGAAAATGAAAGCTCCCTTTCTGTGTGCTTTTGTCTAAAACTATGTGGTCTACTAAAGAAAATTTTCTTCTCTTCAGGTTAGCAGGTATTCATTCTTTCTTTAGTAACTTGTAAATTCCTGAGGCTTGCAGCAGTCTTTAAAAGCTAGTAACTATGGCCGGATAAGAGTATTACTTTTCTGATTTTTGGAAGTACAGAAATGCATCTTAAATGTTTTTCTAACTGTAACAATTAGATACTGTTTCTGAAGTCTGTCATTGGATTTTAGAAAAGGATACTTAAGACTGTTTATGTTTCTTGGAAAGTCTTGAGCTGAAAATGGTTGCTAGAGTTCCAGATTCTGGCAGAAAAATGTCTGCCTGAATACAGTGAAAGACTGTAGAGTCAGTTGTAGTTGTTGGTGTTTTCTGGGTTAAATGTGTGGTTACCGGTGTTAAAAATTGGACATGTGAAAATGATCTAGCACTATTGCTTTCATGATTGCCTTAAGTTTATGTAATTGTTGGTTGTCATCAGAAGATGTGCTCCCACCTTGTCCCACCCCATCTGAAAACTCCCTCTCCTGTGCTGGCCATTAATGACAGTTAGGCCTGTTTTGTGAGCTTGGGAAATGCTTTTCCTCTTTATGTAGTACAGAAAATACTAATTTATTCATCCTGAAAGTTCTATCATATCAACCTCTGCTTGTCTGAAAAACTAGTTGTGAATTGAAGTGTTCTGTATTGTTTTCCTTCTCACTGATACACTGTGATTTTTGTCCAATCTCTAGGCCAAGGTAGTAAACTTTAAAAGGATACCACGTGTGGTCTCTGTCCATAAATATAAATCTTATTGACAAATAACTTTATGCCTTTTTTTCCCTTCTGAAATGTTATGGCCCAATCTTTTGTTAAAGAGTTTTAGTGATATTTCTTTTAATGACATAAATGGTTGCATGCAGAGTTTCTGAAAAGAAGTTACTACTCGGTTTTTGCTTAGCAATTTTAGCTGCAGGTTTTTATCCTGAATATTGACCGATGAGCTGCCTGGTGTTTTAAAACAAGTAAGAAAATAAAGTAACAGTAGAATTTTATGCTTTTGTTTTCAAGTCAAACAATAGCTGATAGGGATGACTGGTTTAGGAATGCTAGTTAGTTATGGTCCAGCTTTATTTGTTGTGTAAAAAGACCAGTTTCATAAATTTGTAAGTGTTATTTTTCCAAGAAGGTATTCTTGGATTGTTATTAGCCTTAGTCTTCAGTTGCTGTTAGGGCAATAACTAATTGTCTGATGAAAAGATAGTTATGTAGTCCAAGCTTCAAGAATATCTGACCTCTGAGTAATTGGAGTAGCATGTTAAGCTAGGAGTATCTCACTAATTAACACAAACAGGCTTGAAAAATCTACTTTTTTAATATCACTTTCAATAAGGTCAGTTTTAATTCTGTTAATAATTATGTTAATAATTAATAATGTCAAACCTCCAATGTTAGAGCATGTTAGGACACAAAAAAGTGGGTTAGTTCATTTGATGTGTTAAATCATAAGGTATTTGTTCTGAAAGCTGTGTTGAGATTTATGAGATAAGGATGCAATATTTGTATTTTTGAGTAGTACCTCTGATTTGTAAGTAGAAATTTCACTGACTACTGGAATTTATTATTTTCCAAATACTAAGATTCACTGAACAGTACTGTAAATTATATTTTATTGGTTTTTTATTGAGTCACATCTTTAAATTTCAAAACCAGTTAAAATACTTTGTTTTCATTCTAGCTCCAGCTTGTGACAGAAAAGTTGTGGATTTTAGTTTCAATATAATGTATTTTAAGGAGCTAGTTTCTTGTAAGTTTAAAAGCTTCAGTCCCTTAAAATTTAATTACAGCTTGAAAGCTCTATGAGACTCAGATGATCAGCAACCATAAACTATATATAATTCATTATATTTCTAATTAAAATTTTACATAAAACTTGCCCCAAACTATAAGTACACTGTTAAAGTATTTTTAAAAAAATTCAGGATACTTTCTGAAGTATGCTGCAAGCTGATACTCTTCTGCAAGCTGCTAGGAGTTTATTGATCAATGCTATATTAAATGTCTTGTTTTGTTATTTAATTTTTTCTATTTCTGTCTTTGAGAGTTTTAAATGTTGGAAATCCAGGAAAAAGTTTTAATTGTCAGAATGGAAAGCAATATTAAGATGTATTCTTATTTTGTTATGTCAACCAAACTCTTTACTAAAAAGAAAAGTAGATACTTCCATATTTACAGTGAGCTTTATTTTTATTTTACAGGACAAGATACCAGCAATGCAAGTCAAAAGCAATCTTTCCTTGAGGACCCAATCCAAGTAAAAGGTAAAATAATACTTCCCGTATTGAAACTTTGCTGCTGTCTGCTAGTAGTCAAAAAAGATACATGTAAGGAAACTGAGGTTCCTCTTCAATTGTGTAACAAGCGATGTGAATAACATTTTAAAACACACTTGTACATCAGCTTTGTTTGATACCCAGTTGTTTGCAAGTGACTCCTGAAAAATCAAATGTGATGGTATTCCTTCTGATTACTCGCTTTTCTTAGTGTGGTTTTAATTGTTTCATTTAAGTGGATGACGTTGTCAGGAAAAAGGCTAATTTGTTTTCTCACCCGTTACCACAGTCTTTCCTCCTTGCATGTTTTTAAATGTGTCCATTCACCATCTCAGACTTGATGGGGCTAAGCTGAATACTTGATCTTCCTAAGTCTTCCTCTGTTCCTGCTTACTGATGAGTTAATCTAATCAGTGGTGCTTCTAAATATATTTTGACCACACGAGCTGTCTAATCTGTATCCTGTAATGTTCCCATTTGTGCCTGTAGTAAATACATGCTTTTGTATTTTGTTACGTTGCTTAAAAAATAAGTGGATACTATAAGAGCCTAACTTTCTTTCATGTTTTTAATTTATCATGACTTGATTTCATTCAGTTTTCACTCTGATAGTTTCTATTATGTTATTGTGAGAATTATGCTATTAAAAACTCCTGTGTTTTTGATTACTCCTAGCCTTCTATCTATGGAAAGAACTTTATCAAAATAGAAGTTGTCATTTTTCTTTAAATTCCTTCAAAAGAAAAAAAAATCTTTCAGTAGTGAAAGTGACTCAGCAGGCTATAAACCTTATCAAAATTCCTTCCTGTCTTTTCCCAACTTTAAAGAAACAACAAATCATAATAACTTGTCACTAGCAAGGCGAGATTAGTGTCTCTCTGAATGCTTTCTGTACACTTTTGTCTGTTTCAACTTTGTCAGTTTCTTTGGGACTATTGTCATTTAGTGCATGTGGGGGAAACATACAAGGTAAATAGGATAAATTAGACAGACAACGAAATAATAATAATAGTGCCCAATGTTGGGAAATCCACCACTTCCTTGAGGAGATTATTCCAATTGCTGATTGTTCTCATTGTGAAAAATTTTCCTCTTGTGCTGCAGCAGCACACTGTTCATTCATATTGAGCTTGTTGTCCAGCAGGACCCCCAGGTCCTTTTCCACAGAGCTGCTACCCAGCCAGATAGATCTCAGCCTGTGCTGAACTCCTGGATTATGTTTTCCCAGGTGCAAGACCTTACATTTGTCTTTGTTGAACTTGATACAGTTCTTGTTAGCTCACTCTTCCAGCCTATCCAGGTCCCAGGTCTTTCTGCAGGGTGGCTTTATCTTCCAAAGTGTCCACTTCCCCACTTGGTTTGGTGTCATTGGCAAACTACATCAGGGTACATTTGATCCCATCATCCAGATGACTTTAAGAGATACTAAACAACGTTAAGCCCAATATTGATCTCTATGGTACTCCACTTGTGCCAGGTTGGCTGTTTGAAAAGCAGCTATGTATCGCCACGCTCTGGGTGTGGTCTGTCGGCCAGCTCCCCACCCACTGGACAGTCACTTGTCTAGACCATAACGCATTGGTTTCCTTAGGAGGAGGCTGTGGGAAACTGTATCAGGTCTTGGAGAAATCCAGGTAGACAATGTCCACTGCTCACCTGATATCAACTGAGCAGGTTACTTTGTCATAGAAGGCAATAAGGTTCATCAAGCTTGATTTGCTCTTGGTGAAGCCATGCTGTCTTTTCCCAATCACATGCTTCATTTGATGTGTGATAGCCCTCAGGAGGATTTGTTCCACAACTTTCCCAGGGGCTGAAGTAAGACTGATGGGCCTATTCTTGTAGATGGGTGTGACATTAGCCGCCTTCCAGTCTTCTGGGCTGTCCCCAGTCTCCATGACTTCTCAAAGAAGCATGCCTTGCATGCTCAAGGAAGGCAGCCTTGCAACAACTTCAGCCAACTCTCTTAATGCCTCAGGTGGGTATTGTCAGGACCCATTGATGTGTAGGTGTCAAGCTCCTGTTTGCATGCCACCTCTTCCTTCACTGACGGTGGGTCTGTGTTGGTATCAGCCTGGATTTTTGTTCCTAGGGCCTGGGGCCCAACAGTGCTGGTAAAGACAGAAGTGAAGAAAGTGTTGATAACCTCTTTAAATGCAGTATCTTTCTGTAAGTGTTCTGTGACTTAAGTAGAATTTCTAGCTAACTATAGAAATCCTGTCAGTCCTGTGATAGACAGGAAGGTAATGTGTGTGTTCATAGGTCATCTCACCGGGAGAAATTGAGCTTTTTGTTTTCAGTTGTGTTCTTTAACATTATATCCTTCAGTAATTGTTATGCACATTGAAAGAAGAGTTTTATATTTTTAATGGAAGTGAGTGTATAGAGACTTAATCACATTTTCACATGTATATACATACAGACAAGCAGGAAATAATGGCATAAATTTAAAATTGTGCTTATCCTTTTTCTGAATAGGTGTATTCTTTTCCTTGTGCATGAAAATCTAATGTCACAAGAGTACATCTTCTAGACATACAAATTATTTTGAATAAAGGATATATATTTTTAGTTGTTATAAATGCCTAATATTAAGTGTGCTAATTTTGAAAGTAATAGTTGAGAAAATTGATGCGTACAGTCTGTTTTTGTTCTCTGTATGGTCTGCAAAGGTCAAAAATCTTATCTGTGAAAGGTGGAGAAAAAGAATTGGGGCTCTATGTTGCCATTTAAGTTGCAGGGCAAGGGTTTCCTATGTTTTAATGCTGTTTTAGTAGCCAAGCATCATCTCTGACATCAAAGTTGGAGAAGGAGCTGACAGCGGCAGTTAAGTGTGTGGGATGTTTGAGAGCCCTGAACTGCACCTTAGCAAGTAGCATTTTTGGAGGTAGATCATTCTACTCTTAACTTATTTCTCCGGTGAAGAGCATCCCTGTCTCTTCACTAAGTTTTCTGTCTTGGTGACAAGCATTGTTTTTCAGATGTCCACTTAGAGGTATCACGATATGACACTAGATTTGAATTACCTTTTGAAGTTTCTGCTGAGTGATTTAACTTGTCTATTTCTGTTTTTAAGTGAAAGCAGTCCTTAAAAAAAGAGAGTATGGACCAAAATACACACAGAATAACTTCATCACTGGAGTCAGAGCAATAAATGAGTTTTGTCTTAAATCCAGGTATGATAGGTTTGAGTTGAAATTTAAATTGTGAACGTTTATTCTTATGTGCCTCAAAAGTGATTGTGATTGTAGGGTGATTTTTGCACAGCAACTTTTTTCTAAATGCTTTTGTGGTATACCTAATCGTAAGTGGCTGAAGTTAGTTCTTGTTTACTCAGTGTTACACTGGATTAGGAACTTGCACCTAGTTTGTATGTTTTCGTAGTGGCTTCTTGAAGTAATTTATTTGTATTTATGTGACAGTAAATTTCATTGGAGGTTTTCTGCCTTTAGAGCAGCTAGTCATAGCGCAGGGTATGGCAAATAACTCTTCAGCATTTTGGGCTCATGGTGGCTTGATGTGAACATCTCTAAAAGATCAGTGGAAACCTCATATGCAAATTCTGTAATTTGTCATAAAATATAATCTGGTTCGTTGTAACCTGACTATTGCTGCTTGATTCATACTTACTGCCTTTTACTATGTGCCATGCCTGCCAGCAGGTCTTACTGAGTATTGCTATAGTTGAGGTGTCTGTCAGATTCCATTCATGTTATGTGTGTGACCTCAAGGCTTAGCAGCTTTCTTTATAACTTCTTATGCTGCTCCTGCTTCTCCCTAGTTCTTAAATGTAGTGTGTGTCACCAGACTTGATTTTTGGTGAAAATCCAGTGACAAATTATACTTAAGTCCTCTTCCGTATTTTTAATCATAACCGACTTGTTGTGTAGAACAACTAGCTAAAGTTTTGCTGGAGTAACTAGAGGGTGGGGAAAGAAAAATGGACTAGATAATTGCTTGGGCTAAAAATGAAATGTTCTATTGTATTAAAAAAAAAATCCCTGATGCTTTTCAATGTGGATGCCCTAATGTGTAGCTCAGCACAGGAAATTTATTTGTTCTCCCTCGTAGTTTTATCTCCAACCTTTTGCAGCTTGTGCTGAGTATGTAGGTTTTGAAGGCAAATTTCTTAACTTTTCATGTTATATGACTTCTGATTTCCACTTAGAGCTGTTAAGCCATGAACCCTCTTGTTTAGCACTTGTGAACATTTTCATGCAGATCACTCACGGAGTGTTTTATTTGATGTTTTATTACTTTGTCTTCTGTGTATAGTATTTAATAGTGTGAGGACATGATTTGGACTTTTGAAGGTGGAAAACACAGTGGCTTTCAGTGGTCAATTGCTTGCTTCACGTTGTGTATCTGTGTTTGACTCAAGTAAAAAAACTTCAGGTTTTTCATACTGCAAATTAATAGTATCAAAATTGTGAAAGATCACCCAGGCATAAAAGTAAGATTAGAATAACCTGAGCTGTTTCTTGCACTAAACTGTTTGTCTACTTTCCTAAGTGATTTAGACCAGCTGAGGAAAATTAAACGAAGAAGCCCCCATGATGACACTGAGACTTTCACTGTGTACCTGAGATCAGATGTAGAGGCAAAGTAAGAACATTTTTATGAAGGAAAATGTTTGGATCATTTAAAATGTATTATATGAGAGAGAGAAAAAAAACTTTTAAAAGTCAGGTTTACAATGTGAAAGGACAATAATGTTTTTAATTTTCTGTCTGAACACATTTTATATCCTCATTATTGTAATAATTGCAGAGTGCATACAAAATTGGAGGGTATGTTTCATGTGTCCGAAGATTAAGTGCTTGTCCTCAGCTCCCTCTTGCCCAGCTTTTTATTCTGTAAAGTAGTCTGTGTGGCTTCTTATTAGAAAGAATGATATGATATGATATGATATGATATGATATGATATGATATGATGTGATATGATGTGATGTGATGTTCTGCTTTTAAGAAATGTAGTCAAACTGAAAAGAAGTTGCATATATAGAACCATTGCTGAGTTACTTTTACTCTCTGCAGGTCTCTTGAAGTTTGGGGTAGTCCAGAGGCTCTTGCTAGAGAAAGAAAACGACGTAAAGAGGCAGAGATCAAGTACAGAGAAAGTGAGTATAGAGTTTTCACATAACTTCAAATATAAACAATAAAGTATGATTGTTAGAAATACACTAGATAGGGTGTTATTTCATTGAGAACATACACATCTGAAATTAGCAATTATGGATAAGGTTTTATAGCACAGTGTTAGAGTAACATGGTACTATCTATGCAGATAGAGTCTGTTACTTTCATTTTATCTATGTGATACAGCAAGAATATGTGCTCAGTTGAGATCCATAGTCATACTTTGTTTTTTGGAGGGCTTTCAATTCTTAGATTATAAATGCCATCTTAATTTGGATTGGAGTTTTTACTGGTAATTTTGAAAAGGCTTAAAACCAATCTTAATCTTGATACGATATCATTACTCTCATATTTTTCCTCTGAAATTAATTCAGTTTGCCTTTGTAAAGGAAGAGGGGAAGCACCCTGTTGTGGTTTAACCTGGCAAACATCTAAACACACGAAGTTCATAAGGAAAACACAGCTTCATCAGGTATCAATTTAATCCTCACCAAAGCTCCAAATAGTGTTCATTAAAGCAAAGGCTGCAGTTTTCTTAGAAATCCAGCTCTGACTGAAGCATTAAAAGGGATTCTGCAATTCAGTCCTAGCAAAACCAGGACACACTCCCAAATCATCTTCTTGCTTAAAGTTATTGTTGTCATCCATGCTGGTATTATCAATTACAACTACAGTCAAATCAGTACTTTGTAATGGATTTTGATATGTCTAGTTACTTAAAATCATACGAGGCAATGTTGCTTCAAGGTCGTTATTCCAATTATGCACCTTAAAGTTAGAGGTCTTGTAATTTTTATTTTTTTTTTGAAACAGTTGTGCCACTGCAACACCTTCCTAGTAAAATGACTAGAGCTTGCAGGCACTTGAAAGGTACCTGTAAGTGTTTATACTGAGTGCAGTCAGTAGATTCAAAAAATTTTAATGACCTGCAGAATAATTATTGGACATAATAAAAAGATTTAAAAAAAAATACTGCTCAGTCATAATAGTACACTGAAACATTGTGCACTTGAAGTGGTAACTCCCTTTTTTTACGGACTATCCTTGTACTCCACTGGCTGTTTTAGTATTTAGTAAATTATTGTGTATAATGTATTTTGTATAACTTTGTAGGGGAGAATCTAGTACTACAGCTTCTAGATACTGTAGTACATCAATGTTTATTTTGAAGTTACTGAACATCATTAGTTAATGAAAAAATAGTGATGTTAAGAGACTTGCTTTGAAACATCCTTCCTCCTCCCCTCCTTGGTTAAGGGGCAGGAGGCGGGTAGCAGAATGCCTGGATGTGTTACAGCATATTTTGAGTTTTTCCCCTTTGTGTGTCATCCTTTGTTAGTAGAAATGGCAGTCATGTATAGGATCACGACAAATTGTACTTGGCATTTTGCCTGAGCATATAACTGTGTTTCTGATTAACAGTACCAGGAGAGGAGTTTTTCCCAAAACGAGATAGACCATGTAGCTCTTTCTATAAGCTGGCTGCTGCATAAAAAAAAGAAATAGGCTTCAGTTCCTGAAACTACTGGTTGCTAATAAGTATTCACGATAACAATTTTGTCTTGCAGATCTATTTAGAAACCAAAGGCTGTTGAGGGAATACAAGGAGTTCTTTGGAAATACTAAGGTAAGAGATATTTTTAAAGTTTTTGACTTTAATGACACAATGACACTATGACACCCTTTGAAGAAAAGAGTTGTGAAGTGGTTGCATAATGGGGTATTATTGGAAGACTTACTTGCACTGTAATATACCAGATTTATCTCTGATTGTAATTCAGTTGGAAATGTTATGATGTCAGTTTAAATGGTTTCCTACTGTGGCAGTGTAATCCACCAGTAAGATTTTTTATGAATTGTCTTCATGTTAACAAAATTACAGCTGTATTTGTGATTTCATCTACAGCCTATAAACATGTATAGTAAATATATTGTTATATACAATATATTGTATATATATGTATAACTTTTGTTATATATAACAATATATTGTTAAAGAAATTAAATAGATTTCTTAAGACAAAAAAACAAAGACAAAAAACTGAAACACTAACGCTTTGCTCTATGCCCTACTTGTCCTTCCTCTTTCCTTAAGCAGACCCATTCCCTAGATTCACATGCCCTGCTATGGTAGACTGATTTCTTAATCTTTTTGCTGCACAGTTGGCCCCTGTCCTTATGGTTGCAGTGGCCCCTACTGCAGGCTGTGTTCGTTGTTTATCTTTTTTATAGCCATCCATTTGTAGAAATGTGTAAGACCCAATTGCAGTTAGTGAGCATTCAGTAGTAAATTAGTAGGCTTCAAGGACTTCACTTTATCAGTACAGGGCAATGCAAAATTTTTATTTAATAATTTGTATGGTAGGTCCTTCATGCGGTCAAGATTTGGTTATTTTATTTTTATAATCTCTTATTTCTTTATGTAGCCACGCTCCAGTGCAGCAGCTATGTTTTTCAAGGGACCAGGGAAGGTGGTAATGGTAGCTATTTGCATGTAAGTTTGAAAAAATAAATGTTTTGTTTATGTAAGTATAAAACAATTTATTTTTATTGTCCTGGAAACGAGAACAGCCTGTATATTCAAGCTAAAGATACCTATGTCTCTGTAACTGAGCTTAATAGATTTCTTTTTTCATTGTTGGTGGGAGAGAGTTTAGGTAAATACATTCATCAATATATAGAGATGAGGGATAGACTATATCTCTGATCAGAGAACAAAGTTTTTGAAGTTGCTCAGACTAAACAGTTTATTAAAGTACGGTCTCTAATGATCTGATATTTGGTTTCACCACACTTGTGATTTTGCTGAAAATATTAAAGACCAAATACTCTGTTGTTCTTGACCTTATTTCTCTTTCTTTTCAGAAATGGGTTGAATTTTTTCTTTAAGCTACTTGCTTGGGTTTACACAGGTTCTGCTAGCATGTTTTCAGAAGCCATACATTCTTTAGCAGACACATGCAACCAGGTGAGTATTTTTTCCATTCTGTTTAAGTTAACACTTGTAATAATTTTTCAGGAATAAAAGTAGATACTTATAATAGTTGTATTACACTTGAAAGCAATAATTCAGTCTACTAGTGTTCCTTAGTTTGTGTAAACTGTCTAAATAGTAAACACCAGAGAAATGAAAATGGTATTTTATTTAGGAGGACTAGGGCACAGTTGATTTTTTTTTTTTTTTAACAAAGTTTTTTTCCTTTTGTCGTAAATAGGCATTGCTAGCTCTGGGCATCAGTCAGTCTGCAAGGACACCTGACCCTAGTCATCCGTAAGCTTTTTGAGTAAATAATGATTTTGGTAATTATACATAGGAATAAGATCAATTCTTGTTTGTGTGTCATTTATTAGTCTGCTGTTTAATATAATTTCTGAAATGTGTTTTTTCTTATTTTACATTAGATGAAATAAGAAAAGGGATTTTTTCCAAACTGCAGAAGTTTTAGTTTCAATGGCTTGATGCATGTTATATTTCATGATGGGGTTTTTTTTGGTGGTATGCTTTTTGATGTATATTGTTTTAATTTGCATTATTTCTTGATGTTATTTTGGGCTTTTCTACTTCTTCCAATGGATAAATTTATTTTTAAACACTGTCGTGTGAATGACGATTTTTTTTTTTAAAATAAAAAATACTGTCCTCTCCCTGTTTTCAACAAAGTGCTTTTCTGCAAGGCACTTACTGGTATCCCAAGGACATGTGCTTGACTTAAAATACTCTGGTTTTGTTTGGGTTTTTCTTCCTGAATGATAGGGATATTACTGATAAGTTCTTACAACTTCATGAAAATTAGAAGCTATACTCTTCATAATATTTTCTTGGTGTTGACCTGCTTTACACTTTGTTTTTGGTCAAGTGCTCATACTGTAAGCACTAGTTCACAATACATCTAATTTACAGAATTAGTTAAGCTTTTCTTCATCAAGAGCATCAGGTAATTTGACAGATGTTTTAATCTTAAATTTGTCTAAATATTTGTTGTGTCTCCTTCCCTTCTCTCTTTTTTTCCTTCTTCAATACAGTTGTTTGTACTATTCATATTTAAATGTTGCTAAAGAAATGTACTGTTTGTAGTGGCAGTTAATACCAAAAAAAGGAATAAATACCTTTTAATACTGCTTTAGCTCTTCCCACTGCTCATAGAAACTGCAAGTGTTGAATGTCTGTAGTTAGCTGAACTACTTAAAAGATGTCACAAATTTTATTACCTTTAAGTTAGTGTTATAAAATAAGTAGACTGGCTGCCTATAAGGCTAGAGTTTTCATTCAGAAGTAGCATTTCAATAAAATGTAAAATTGACATGAATGCTGTTTGGGGGTTTTTTGTTAGGTTTTTTTTTTCAGTAGTAAAATCCTCAGTCTCTGCACAGCAGCTAATACAGTTGCGTAAATAGCTTGTTTAAAAACGAATTAGAAAAATCTCTGTGCTTGATATCCTTGTGTGTATCCTTTTCCAGGTGACTCTTTTTTTCCCTTGGATTAGGTTGGATTTAGCAGCTTTGTCTTAAATAGGTGCCCAGTCATATGATTATAATTTAAGACATGTAAAAATTAATGGGAAAAAAAACTTGTAGATGTGTTTGCAGATATGTAGAATCTTACTTTCCTAAATCACTTTCTTTGTTTTCATCTAGGTATGGTTTCACAAACATGCGCTATATTGCCTCCCTGATTAGTGGGGTGGGCATTTTCATGATGGGTGCAGGACTTTCTTGGTATCATGGGATCATGGGTTTACTCCACCCTCATCCTATAGAATCTCTTCTCTGGGTAAGCTATTCCTGTTTAATATTGTATCTAACACTGGTGACTTAATAGAAAGTAATGGCACAGTCTGAAATTCACTTTCTGAGTCAGTTTGAATCCCAACACAATTCACTCAAACCATCCTTAATGTGAATGTATTTTCAGAAAAAAAATCTTGTTAAACTGTAGCTGGTCATATAGCAAAATGAGCTCTTCTTTAAATCCTTCATGCCTCCCAAGATTCTTTCCTATTTTGCAATATATTGCAATATCTTTGGTTGCCTTCTGTTTAGGGACAGCTACATGACAGAGTGGGCAATGTGGTTCTGGAGTGCTGTGTTTAGATAGTCTGTGGTGAAGCGATCTGTACAGATATGCATATAACTTTTTTTTTTCATACAGGCTTACTGCATTTTAGCAGGGTCATTGGTATCCGAAGGAGGTATGCAGTTTCAAGAAATATTTCTATATAAGTATTTGTAATCTCTAAGAGTACAATGTGAGTAATTACAGTAATAATTGGTGCTTGCTTATACAATATTTTTTTGGGCTCTGTTGCAAATACTTGTAAATAAAAAAAAAGTGGGAAACATTTTTTTCTTATCTGTATATAAAATAAGAAGTTGAAGAACACATCATTTGGAAAGTATACGTAGAATGACTTTTTGGGGTTAAACGAACAGTGAATGTAACTATTCCAATCTGTATGGGAGGCAGGTAGAAAAGAAGCTAGCTTTATGCTTTGTCATTATTCATTGTCAATAATCAGAGCTTTCTTGATGATCTGTGGCTGTAATATAAGGAAAAGTTCCCTCTTCAAAATGGAAACAAGTATTTTTGCCTGTAACCATTTTCAGCAACTACTTTGGTGTTGTTTCAGCTACCCTTCTTGTTGCTATCAATGAAATCCGCAGAAGTGCTCGAGCCAAGGGTCTGTCATTTTATCAATATGGTATGTGGTCATGTGAAACAGACTTTATTTATCTGTATTTGCATAATGATATAAACAATTTTGTGTGTTCTCCCTCTCCCTTTCCCTTTCACCTTGCTTTATTGATCTCTTTTCTAGTAACAAATACATTTTTCAAATTAAGTCAAAACCTGTTGATTTAAGTAACACTGCTTAAATGCTTCTACTAAACCACCTGCATTTTTCAGGAAAAATGCCCCTTAAAATTTTTCAAACATTTTGGAAAAGCTTCTATAGTTGGCACAGGGCTTGTTCTGTGTATTTATGAGTGCTTTCAGAAGTGTGTGCACATGCAAAAATTGAGTTTACACCTTTATACTTATGGAAATTTTTCTCTTAAGTTGTTGATGTTACTACTGTGCATAATGTAGTAAAGCTAAGCTTTCCAAAGTAATGTAACTTCTTTTTTTGTTACATATACAGTTGTGCAAAGTCGTGATCCTAGTACAAATGTAGTGTTACTGGAGGATGCTGCTGCAGTTCTGAGTGTGGCCATAGCTGCTACCTGTATGGGTCTGACTTCTTTAACAGGTAAAATTCTGCCTAAAACTGAGGTAAGCAGGATGTGAATTTCCTGCTGTGCATGATATGAACACAAAGCATATTAAGTTTATATTGGTTAATTTAAATACATCTCTGCTCTTTTCCTGATACTTGTACTGTGTAAGCTTCTGGAGGTTTATACTGTTCTCTGATCTAATTTCTAGTAGTTTGAGTTGAAAATACTTAAAAAAAAAAAGATTGGTTTGTTTGGTTTTTTAATATGTCTATTATTGGTGGGTTTAAGCTTGAAAGAGTACATGCAGGTGGATCTACCTACCGTTTGAGCTATTTTGTCGTACAAACTAAGGTAGTTTTTACTAAATGTATATTTATTGTAGTCAGTTATATAAATCACTTTGTGCCATGGTGGGATTACATGATTTGAGCTTCCTTACTCAGTGGTGTGCAGCTCCATGTGCATGTGAGGAGAATTTAAGGAAGCAGTTCTTCCCTTCCTTTTCATAGTTGTGGTATTAGTGTTATCTTCAGATTACGGTAGCTGTTCCTGAACAGTCTGGCAAACCTAACTCATATAGGTGGGGTGATCTGTATGGCAACTGGTTCAAAGTCTGTCTTTGCTGCACAGTTAAGTTTTCTAGAGAGAGAAGATTGATTATTTGTCTCTTTTTCAGTATTGGCTTTTCAGTTGTTTAAAAAAGGAAATATGATAATTTCCACAGAATCACAGAATATTAGGAGTGGGAAGGGACCTCGAAAGATCATCTAGTCCAACTCCCCTGCCAGAGGAGGATCACCTAGACCTAGAAAAATAATTTTGTTGCTTTGTGGTTTCTATTGAGTTAATTGCAAGTTTTATTTTTTGATATTGAAGTCTGTTTTTATTCCATCTCTAGTTTCCTTCATAAAGTTAAAAACATATTACTGTTTCTGCAAATCTGAGTAGGAATGAATACATGCTTAAAACTTACTGTAGAAGCACTGTATTCTAGAAATGGCTGATACTTAAAAGTTTTTGAGTTAAGTGTTAAGACACTACCTGTGTTTAGGTGTATATAATTTTATATTAATAAAAGTAAATCTATACACAGAAACCCAAATAACTGACAAGAAGTTGGTCATTTATTAGTCCTACAGGAGACAGGAGTGGCTGAGGGACAGAGGAGGGTCTTGAGGTTGTCTTAAGATAACTTATTTTTTTCCAGATTCAACTTGTTCTTCAGTAGGAAAGAATTGCTGATGCATTAAAAAAAACACAAACCAAAACCAAACCAAACCAAAAAATCCCACCAAAAAGAAAAAAAAAACAAAAACAAACCCCAAAAAAACCCCCAGAACTATGTACTCATTTCAATGTGAAGACTGAATTATCTGCTGTTTTAGAAATACTCTGTGAAACTAATTTGATGTGTCTTGTTTAGGAAACCCTTATTATGACAGTCTGGGATCTCTAGGTGTTGGAACTTTGTTAGGAACTGTGTCAGCATTTCTAATCTACACGAACACAGAAGCACTACTGGGACGATCCATTCAACCTGAACAACTGCAGCGACTCACCGAGTTACTGGAAAGTGATGCTGTGGTAAGGTAAGAATCTTTGCTACTCCATCCCTACTAGGAACAACAAAAAGCAGGGAAATAACATTTGGAAAAAACAGTTCAAGCACTTTAAATAAGACAAATCTGGTGAGATTGTTTATTTTTAGGGTGGATTCTTCTGTATTAAGATTTTAGAATCTTAATTATTACTAACTTATATTACTATGCTAAAAATGTCAGTAAGTGAATACTCCTACCTCTTAGATGTTCCAAAACTGAAATAAAATTGCAAATATGCTTTTAACAGTTACATTAGTTACAGGAGTTGACAATGACTTAATGAGAAGGCCATCACAAACTTAGAACTATTTTCAAATGCATGAAATGCAAGCACTTAAATGATACTGTAATATTGCTTTTAGTTTCTTAGCATTTAAATATTTCAATTCTGTTACTGTTAATATTTGGTGTCTGGAATTCTGTAGCAGTTGGCAGTGAAGTGCTGCAGTAGTGTTATGATGTAATAGAGTCTGCATGTTAGATGCTTTCTCAATGCTAATTTCTTTCTTTGGAAATCTGCAATTTGCAGTGAAATAAACTTGCAGCTCATTGTAATTGTGAATTAAATGCTTCTTAAGGAGCTATTTTAGTTTAACCCTATTAACCTTGATTTAGAAGGAAAACCCTTTTTGTTTTCTTCGTAATCTTTACTCAGGAATAGAGTTCGATCTAAATCGGCTGGAATATTTTAGAGCTTTTAAAATTTGTAGTCATCACTGAGCTCTGGAGGGGAAAAAACCCCAACCCATTAGTTTCTTTCAAGTTTTCCAGAGTTAATTGAGAGTTGCATCACCTCAGTTGCAAGTAACAGGTCTGAACAACATAACATACCTTTCATTCTAGAAGCTAAATAAAATTCCTGTTTTGGAATAGGGTTGTTTTAGAATTTTCACATGTCAGTAACTAAACTCCGCTAAAGGACTTGTGGTGGCCCTGGATTAGTCTGAATGGTGGAGCATGTATCAACAGTGCTGTGTTAGAGTAGGTGAGTTCGCATGGTATTTGTACGTGACTTCTGTAGTTCTCTTTTTCCAAAGTGTACGAGTGGCTTTCGCTTGTCCCAAGCTGGAATAATAAAATTTCTCCTACCCCAAGCAACATTTTTTATTTGGTTCTATTTTGTAGATGGCTGTAACTTCTCAACCTAGCAGACTTAGTTCATCTCCTCCTCACTGTAAACATTTTTTAAAACAAAAAGTAAATTAATTTTAAAAAAGCATAAAGATTAAAACAAAAAGCAAACAGTAAGAAACTGTGTGTTTATCTTAAGGTTAGAGGCTGAAACACATTTAAGTACTTCTTATAACACTCTTTGCAGGACCTTCTGTATGCATGCTGTATTGGGTGATCTCTTAATGTAATGGATCATTCTGCTTTGATTTCCTTGAGCTCACACTTTCTTTCATCATGTTCTTCTTGTAACACCCCTAATACTTACATCTTTCAATAAGACATGGTCTTGATCTCAGAATTCTCTGAGATGTACTTTTTTTGGGGGAAGAACTACTCTCTTTTCTTACTCCAACTTTTGATTAGTTAGGTTTTTTTGTTTGGTTTGTTTTTGCCTTTTTATTGTGAAATGAGGAAGTCTTTTAGCATCAAGTATTTCTTCAGAAGGCGTCTTGTACATTTTCATCAACATAGTTTAGGGCTTTTAAGAGTTTCAGCATTTTCTTGAATGTTCACACTCTCTTATTTTCATAAATGGGGTTGTATAGTAGTATATCCAATTTAGTTTTTTTTTCCCCTACTGACACCAAATGTAAAAGAAAAAGCTCCTGTGTACTGGTCTACTTCTGCCGCTGTGACTAATATTTGCTCTCTTTATTTCAACCTTTCAGGGTCTTCAGTTGTCAGGCTGAAGTTGCCAGGGCAATCTTTTTGCAGTTGCTGCTTCCCAGAACCAGTCCTCCCTTGTTCTTTCAGGGAGGGTTTGCAGCATTTATTTTCAAATGTTCTGCCAGATACAAAGGAGATATATTAAGGAATCATTTAGTTTTCATCAGAAGATATATTAGATCCAAATTGACCAAAGGATCCAGAGGTTCTGATTCCTGTTCCTCCATCACCACCACCACAACCACTTAACTTACTATTCCAGCAGTAGCTTGCCTGAACATCATGTTCCACTGCTAATTATAAAGTATTTGATTTATCAGTCAGTACTAAGTTCTGTACTACTAAAATACATAATATCTGTGCTGTTGATAATTTTTCCAGCTAAATCTTTAATATTTTTACAGAGGTGATTTGACAAGACTTACATTCCCTAAAACCTTAAGGATTGAAATTAATGCTCTTAATATATTATTTTTCCCCCACCTTTTTCACTGTTTTGCCTTGGGTTGTCAGGTGAAGTTAAATGGATTGCCTTATTTGCTATTCTTAAATTTTGACACAGTGTCGTTAATGTTGTTAATCTTCTATTTTTTTTTTTTAATTCTCATCAGTATTGCAGGATGAAAAATTAATTTACCTTCACAGTTTTCTTAGTTCTTTTTACTCTTGAGTGGGTTATGGAGCCTGCTGAATTAGAAGAACTTTTTCTTTTCAATATCCACTATGCTTCTCTGCTACTAATAGAGAAATGCTTTGTTGTGCTAATATATTGTGGTTTTTGTAGATCAAGAAAACAACACTTATTGCTTGTTTCTGCCTATTCTGTGTCATTGATAACAATTTTACCATTTACCATGCAGTAGCAGGCTTGTTTCCAGGTTATCCTTTGTTTCTGCTATACTTAAAAAATGTTGGTTTTTATCACAGACAATGCTTTTTTTTTATGCTTCTCTTATCAGTTTATTGGACTTCATAATTTCTTTCTTATGCTCATGGCCATTTACTTCCCTTTTTTTTCCTTTTTGCTTGGTAATTTCTAGTTATAGCCCTTATTTAATTTGCAGTCCAGAATGGGCTTTCAGTCAGAGTTGTTCTCAGCTGGAAAATTACTTTGTTTTACTTTTTGCTACACAAACGTTCCATTCTTAACTCTCATTCACACCTTTGGTGTCTAAATCTGTCTTGTGTTCAGCTTAATTGAAGTGTAGGAGATTAAGCTTTCAGAACTGTGAAATAAAATACATGATGTACAGACTGTCCTGTTTCTATTCTCATGGAATGAAATCACAGATCCCTAGACATAAACTATTCTTAGTGACAGTTTCATCTTTTATTTTTTACTTCATTGTAACAGCTACTGGGTAATTTTGGTGGTGGTGTGCTGAAAAATCTGTCATGCTAGTTTGGGGGGGGGGAATAGTATGTTGACTGATGGCTCAAAGCCAGTAACTTTACATCCTCTGACAAACGATTCTTTAATGTGAAACTTACTCTTTTCCCTAGTTTGAATTGACGGTGTCTACTAGCCATCCAGAAGCTTCCGTAAGAAGGTTTTGTAACTTGTTTTAGGATGCACATTTGTTTTTTTGAATTATTTGTGATTTTTCTCCTCCTGACTCTCTGTCTTATCTTTCCTGGACAGATTGTAAGCAGAAAGATACTCTGTTTTTTTTTTTTCCTTCACATTTACAGAATATGCATCATTCCACTGAATTTTCTCAGGTTACTGCTTAATGAGAACCTCAGATATCTCCTGTTATCTTCTCGCTTAGCTCTGATAGGCACCTGATACATCTTAGCATTTTTGAATCACATGAATTCAAATTCTCTTCCATAACCCTCATTGAACCACATCCGTTATCTTAAATACCCTCTTGTGTGAGGAGGCAGTTTGATGCCAGTTATTAGGTTACTCCAGTTAATACTGTTTTGATTCAGTAGCTTCCCACGGAGTAGCTGTGTAAATTTGGTTGGAGCTGGAAATTCTTTATTTCTACCAGTAAGCTGATGGTGGTTCTTCTAAACTGCTTAAATGTTTACTAAGATGTATTTTTTGGTGTCTTTATATTTAGTTCGTGTTCTGTTTCTTTTCTGATGTGCTTAACATTACCCCTCCTCTATCATGAATATTACAAGAAAGCTTCCATAAACATTTCCTGTGACTACCACAAATTTTTGCCTCCTGTTCTTTGAAGGCTGTTCCCTGTAACAGGCTGCTTCCAAAATCTATACCTTCCAAAGTAGTTAGTTTTAATTAAAAAACACTCAGATGAGAGGAAACATTTCTACTTGAGAAGAGTAAAATTGCTTAAGACAAAGGGCACACTAATTTTAAAGATGCTGTGAAATTGCACAACTTGGTAAAGTCAATGGCAAAAAAAGTTTAGTACTTTCAAGTGAGCTTTATTGCTGAATTTAAATTTTGTGTTAGAATTTAAACTGTTGAGGTTGCATTTTTCTGTTTTGGGAATATTTTATAGTTGACCTCAGATACTTGTTTTGCTGTTTTGTTTTAGAAATGTCAGAATTAAAAAAAAATGAATCTTTTGAGTTTTATGTTCCATAAATCTCAAAAGTCTTTAGTCTTTGCTTTTTTTCTGTCCTTGATGGAAAAATGTGAAAACTTATGCTGGAGTGGCACTTTTAAATTCTGCTCTGCTTTAAAGATAAACTAAGTTTGTGTTCATCTAATTAGGAAAAGAAAAAGGGACTATTTATATTATATTTATTTCACTGTTGAAATGTACCATGGTATGTCTAGGTCCTAACTTTGCTTCATATCTAATGCTTGAGAAAGAGGACTTTTTGTTTATTACCTCTATTCATGCATCATGGAGTTTGTCTAACAAACTGGAACAAAACTGAACTATAGAAAAATAGAAGTCTTCATATGTCCAAAATATTAACATATTGCAACATTTTTGTTCTAGCATTTATTAGGAACCTTTAAATAAATACACGTTTTTCAATGTTTGCAAGCAACTCTATTGTGATTACTCATGATCAGTAATTCAGTACCATCAAAAATTACTTACAAACACAAAATCTGTATCTTGTTCTTATATCAAATGTCACTTTGAATAGAAAAGTCTCCAAAAGGTCATGCCTTTTCAAATTGTAGTTACCTAGGAAAGGACACTTCTTTGATTGCAACGTGTGCTTTCAGTAATTGGTTATTGATTATTCAGTAATTGGGAATTGATTATTGTTCCTTACCTCAGAATTTAGGGTACTAAAAGATTTTTTTAAATAAATGCATGCATATGTGTATGCACAAAAACTTCTGTGCAGTAGCAAATTAGTTGAACTTGAAAGTTCAACTCGGAATAGGAAATTTCTCACTTCTATTGTGGGACTTTTTTTAAATACAATTAGTCTAGTTCTAAATCTGCGATGCTTCTTGTTGTCTGTCTTTTATTGTAGCGAGCCCTTTATAGATGCAGGATACTTGTGTCGGTGTAGCAGATACCTGTGGATGTAACTGGTTAAATATAAATCAGTATTTAATGGAAGTCTGTGGTGACAAAATGAGGATATATTAAGTCAAAGGCAGTGGCCTTTTAAAATTACACAAGTTACTGTGATGATATTGCTAACATCAGAATTCTAAGTAGCTAGTTGTTTGTTTTGCATTGTTCTAAATTTTCTTTAAAAATTATGTGTTTCAGAGCAATTCATGATGTTAAAGCTACAGACATGGGAATGAGCAAAGTGAGATTCAAGGCAGAAGTAGACTTTGATGGACGGGTTGTTACTCGTTCTTACCTGGAGAAACAAGACATTGAACAGCTGCTACAAGTATGTTTAACAAAATGATTTTGTAACTTCCAGTATTTGATATTTACTTTCAAATTTCAATTATATCTAAACCCAAGATTTTCAAGTAGGTGAGATAGATTCTACTTCATTTTTAAGTATGACGGATGTTTTTACTTTGTGTTAGTGTGTTAAATATCTGTACATGGAGTCATGTTATGTGCTGTTGAAATTGAGCCACTTCTGGGTTGAGCAGGGCCTGGGTAGGAGGGTGGGATTTTTTTAATGGCTTCTGAAAATGCAGTGTTACGGTTTACAGATCCTGCCATTCAGAATATGCTTGACTATGGATTGCTTGCATCACAACTTAGCATTTTGATAGTGTTTAACAATTTACCACCCTTAAGTGTTTATCTCTGATTTTGGATTTTTAGCTCAGATGAGTTTTTCTTAATCCCTCTTTTCAATATAGAAATGCAAAACTGCTTTCAGTAAATTCTCCATGACAAAGCTACAAAGTATGAAGTAAAGAGTAATTTACCTAAATTTACAAGGAGAGTTTTAAGTGAGCAAAATGTTTTTCTTGCTTACCCATTTTCACCAGCAACTTCCTTTACTTGTGTATACATTTACTTTTGTACCTACAAGATTTCTTTCTTTTCTACCCTTTAAAAATAAAAAGTAGATGTCAGATGTCTGCGTTCTACATCTGCCTGTTAAACACAACTTAGAAGTTATGAGTTTACATTTAAATTCCTGCAGTTTTTGAAACGATTAGTTGATGTCCCAGTTTGTAAAAAGTATCGCCCTTTAATGACAGAATAAGAATCTTAGTGTGTTATATAGTGCAATAAGTGATCTGTTCATGTACTGGATTTCTGTTTAATACAATTTTGAGATGAAAGAGCGCTGTCAGCTTGTACATCTGAGGCACTGCAGGTTTGCTTGGTTTTATATTGCCAAGTCTCATTTGCTTTGCTGTTGCAGCCATTCAATAAACTTTTTTTTTTCCCCCCAAAGTCTTTGTTAGCTTTTGTTCCTTACTCTCTGTACCCTTTGGTGATTGCATACAATGTTTGCTGGTTCTTCCAACTGGTATTATTGGGAAAGTTCTTCCTCATTGTTCCTAGGTCAGCAACTGTTTCTTATGCAGGTCATTGTAGTTTCATGTAGTAACCTCGTGTCAGCTATGACACTCTTGTTGAAGGATAGCTGCTTTCAGCAGGGCTCAGCCACCCAAAGTCAAGGGCAGACATAGTGCTTGCCTTTTGATATATAGGTTTCCCAGATAACTAGCCCATTCAACTAGCATTGTTATCAACATTACTCTTTCTAAAGTTGTGAAGTATTTTTTGAAATGTTGTCATACAGATGAATCTAAGTTTCTTTTTCTTGTTAGACTTGCCCAGATCATAGTCATAGGCTATTGTGGTTGAAATTTCTAAGCTCACTCAATTACATTTTTCTTCTTCAGTTTTAGAGTAATGGGGGCATGAAAGAAATTGATGTTGTGTTGTAGTTGTATACACAAGAATAACTAGCTATTTAATAATTACACTGTTAGCAATAACCTGTTTATCCTAAGCATTCTGCAGCTGCATCACCTAAACTATCGCTGAGATCCTACAGGACAAATGGCTTCTGGCCAACTGAGTTCTTGGTGTGAGACCTCTAAGGAAGGCTTGTGACAGTGCTGTAATACCTGCTTTGATGCTTCTGGTGTCTGTGTTTTTTTGGAGAAAGGGAGCATAGCATCCTGTCTTCCCTAACCTCATTCCTTCAGTCTTGTATGCTGTAGGTCTCCTAGTCTGAGTTCTTATTGACTGTCTTAGAGTTTTTTGATATTATGGAGAAGCTGTGTTGACAGCAGCAGTCATAGTCATCCTTGTGGATTTTCAGATGAGTCGGTAATGTGATGCCCAGAGTAAGCAGTGTAATGGAATAGCAAGAATATATGAGGAAAGAGTACCTAGGGGTACTCTGCTGTGCCTTGCTGTAAGCAAGGGATACCCAAGAAACTACTAGAAAATGAATGAAAATCTCTGAAGTTATTTGGAAAATAAAGGGGAAAATCCATTAAAATAGAAGAAAGTTTTATATCAAGTGCAGATGTAATGGTAAGCCAGCTGTTTTCATTGAATAGATACTACTCTTCTGTGTCTTTGAGACATCAGAACAGATGATGCTTTGAAAAGAAATAGCAAAAACTGAAAAGTGTAACTTTTTTTTTCCCCTGGACTTAAATACATCAAGACCCTCTGTAGCGTTCTTCCTTTCTTTTCTTTTCCTAATCTCAACCTCTTAAATTTGATTTTTTTTTCTTAGGAAATTCAACAAGTAAAAACCCTTGAAGAGTTAGAAGCCTTCATGCTTAAGCATGGGGAGAATATCATTGACACATTGGGTGCTGAAGTAGACAGACTTGAGAAGGACTTAAAGGTAAAATTTAGCTGCTTGTTAGGGATTGCTTACTCTGTAGTACATTTTAAACAATATTACTGCTCCTACTTCTTGGGATTTTGTTTGTAAATATGAGACAGAGGAAGATGTTGATAACCCTAATGCAAGTTTTCCTGCTGTACTATCATTACCTGAGTTCTGAGCAGTAACAAACCGTTTGGCAGTGATCTGTTACTTATTTTGTTCAATTTTATACTACAGTATTTTAATGAAATGAGACTTGATTGTGTCTTTGTTACTGTATTCTCAGAATGTCAGGTTACTTACAAGCTGTTGAATTCTGTTTTGGTTGTAAAGAAGCAAATTTCAATTTTTATTTTTATTTTTATTTTAAGTGTGGTACTTAGCATTGTATCAAAGATGATATCAGTGTGTGATGAGGGCTTTACTCAACAGTTTTTGCTCTTGTTGAAGCAGTACAGTGTTTACTTCTTTTATAAGCCTGTCATAACTTTCTAACTACTTTTTTCATTCTGAGATTTAAATATTCTTTGGTTGATGCAACAAAGGGTTGTTTCCATTTTTAATTTTATAATTATATTGTGGCTGTTAATCTTACTGTTTCTGGAATGAATGCAGAACTATACTGACTACCAGACAAATACAGTCCTGTCATGACTGCCTTTTCCAGTCATCAGGAGACACAGCTCAAGAACATGTCTGTCCTTGCCTATTATTTTTGAGAAATACTCTAGTTTAATTTTCTATCCCTAGAGTGGTGGCGTTTTAAAAATAAAAATAATATTTTTTGAGTTTAATTGTATCAGTAGATCCAGTTCTTCATGGTTTTTGAGGAGCAGGATCATGACTTAAATATTGTATGAACACAAATAGTGGTTTTTGGTATAGGGAAGGATTTCAGTGATTGTGTTGCTGTTGAATATGCTTTTCTAAATATGCTGGATGACTTTGAAGTTGGTGACTTTCAATAAACCTCTCATGGATTTTACAATCCGTGTAATGATGATAATGTACTTTTAAAATATCAGAATATGCATATTTCTTAATAGAAAACCCTATTTTGAAGCTTTATAAATAGCTTCAGTGGCATAGAACAAATTATTTCAGCAATCTTATTCACTATTCAGGAAAGTGTGTGTTAAACATAAATATGTATCACTTCAAGAAAGTTTTATTTGAACAGTTTTATATAAAAACTAGCTACCTTTTTAAAATCAAAAGAGCTACTTCACAAAATTGCTTGTAGTATGAGCAATCTTTGTTTAACCTGTTCCTCATTTTAAAATAGTTCCTGTGTTACCAGAAGAGGGGATTTGTTACCCAGTTGCCAGCATCATACCAGAAACACATTATTTGTATCCATGTGCAAAAATGTTTTTGGATATTTTCTATATTTTTTTTTAATTCCAGCAACGAAATCCTGATGTTCGTCATGTGGATTTGGAGATATTATAGACTTGGCAGAAGAAATCTTCAGGTTGTTGCTGCCATTTTGGAAAGAAGTGATGTAAAGGGCTGAGAAGTGTCTGAAATTGCAGTGACCTCAGCACCATACCATGCTTACTTTTGCTGTAGGCTTCATGGTCTGTTAGGACTGCTTCTGTTTCTGGAAGAGCGCCAGACTTGCAGACAAAAATTTCTATGGCAAAATCAGTTTTGCAAAGCTACTTGACTTAAATCCCACAGGAGAGTCTGTCAAGAGTGTATCTACGGCAATTCAGAACTTAAGATGTGAAGTTTAGTTAGGCAAATAAGGTGCCTGGAAACACACAACACACTTAGTTTTTCCATTTGTGTCCCTTTGCAGTCAGTTTGCACTTCTTTAGTTTCTTTCAAGATATCATTAAATGTTCTTGGGAGATGTTAAAATTAGCTAGGAGAGTTTGTTCCAGTGGAACCTGCCGACCTTAAACTAACTGTAGTACTTCAACTGTGTGATTGTTTCACAGGTTTTGTTTTGTTTTGTTTTGTTCTTTCTTCTATGAGGTAAGTTCTTTCAAACAGGCACTGGCCTTCTCTCAAGTACCATGACTTGGAAACCTACTTTTTGCCACCATGGTTATTACCAACTGCACTTCAGATAAATAAAGTTTTTCTCCTCAGTGAAGTTACCTGTATGTGGTTAGCCAGAGTATGTTAAGTTACTGTGAACAAATTACTGTGTAGAGATTTCGGTGAACTTCCTCTGTTTAAGTTTTTTTCTTCCTACTTTGACACTTGTTCTCTTGTTCGTACGTATCTTCAGATGTAATCTGGGAGTTATTTATGGTAGTACTTATTAAAAGTTACCTGGCATTTTTGGCTTTTTATACTTTTAATAGGCTGTATTGCTAGATAAGGTCTTTGCTGGAAGGTGTAAGAAATGTAGTTGGAAGTTACAGTAGTAAAAAAATGTATTAGAACTATTTATAATTAAATGAATACATTGTATTTTTAATTTACCTCTAGACATTATCTGTTATCTGAATTCTAAACTGCTTTCTCTGTACTCTTTTTTAAGAGTTGACCTTGCTTGTTTAAGAAAGTGAAGTAATTCTATCAGCAGTCCTGAACAATCCTAAGAAGTGCTCAGAGTTTGTAACTTTGAAATTTGCAGTTTTAGCCTCAAGGCTTTCTGCAGTAGGCACCCAAGTTGTGCCAGATTGTTTGAGACCCAGTCTTTAATTAATAAGGCCATGAATACTGATCATGCAAGTTGAAATATAAGTGAAATAACTGCATATAAATAACTGAGGAAAATCCCTTATGCACTTTAACATATTTTGATAAAATGAGAATTGCTTATTTTGGTGACTCAGTTGCCGAGTAATGACTGACTTGCTGAAAGAAGAAATGTTGATATGAAATACAAGTCTTCAAAAATCAATTTAATACTAAGTTATAAACATTGCAGCAAATAATAATTGTGGAGATCAATATGTCCAGATTTGACTAAAAGCTTTTTAGAATTTTTTTTTTCATACTAAGTGTCACTTAGCAGTGAATTACAAGAATTTAAAATAGCATGTCTTTTGACAACTGCAAAGCACTTTGCATGCTGGTCATTTTTAGTAGAAGAACATTCCAGAGTTTAGTTACAGATGGGACTTCACATATGGAGGAACTGTGGGTGAAGGGGTCTCCTTAGTACCCTTGTCCATAATCCCTGTTCACTGGTGACTTCTTTGTAGCATATTAGGTTATTATGGCTAATCCAAAAGAAGGTTTACTTTATCTAGAACTAGTTAGTATATTTAAGCCTGATGATTTGAAACAAAGTTTGAAGGTAGTTTGGAGGTGTACTGTATTGAGTAAATAAGGCATATTTTATCACATTAGAAGTTGTTTACCTTTCACATTAGAAATTGTTCACCCTTCCATGCAAACTTCATCTCATCTCAGTATGCACTCTGCTGATGTTAGTCTTATTCATGAAGAGGACTCGAATCTGATAACGTATAACCTCTCTCCTTCTTCCTCGAACATTTAGATGGATTTTGAATTTGAATAAACACTTTAAACCTGTTATTCCAGACATTCTAAAAACACAAAGATTTAAAACTGGGAAAATGCTCTTACTAGGGAAGATGGTGGAGACATCCAGTGTGATATAAGTGGTTTGTATGATGAATACATCATGGTATATTTGATGAATGAGTAGTACTAGTATGCACTTTGCAGGACAGAAGTTACACTGAGGGGTTAGTAAATGTTATCTCAGTACCAAAGTGTTCCTATACCTTGTTTAAGAGGTGGCATGAGTTTATATTCTTACAGAGCGTTTGCTCCAAAAGCCTATACAAATTCATCAGGGATGTAATTTGTATGAATTCTATTAATTTCCTTATCTGAGTCAGAAGCATACCCATCCACCCACCATTAGTTTGTATTCCAAGATAAAATTCAGATCCTTGTCTCCCAGTTACATTATTGATGATAACATTACAATATGTTAAATTTAAGTAGCCAGAATTTGACTGTTTTTGGATAAATAATAGTTGCATAGTTTGAGGACCCAGTTCCATTTTTAAAAACAACCTGGATGGTGATGAACTATAAAAAGGCAGGCAGACTGGTTTTGGCAGTAGTTTCTAAATTTGCATGTCTTGCAGTTGGCTGAAAATACTGATTCATTCCAACTTGTCAGGTTCGAAAGGGAAAGTAATTCCAAGCTGTTCCATTTTAATATACATTATAATTTGCAGATTGTGTATAACAGTTTTGACATTTTTACTGCTTTTTTTTCTTAACTCTATGCTCTAAAACTTGATATGATGTGGGTCCAGTATTTAGTTTACTTTTGTTTTAGTATTTTTGGGAAAATGTTTAGCTAATCCATTTACATGATAAAATCCTCAAAATTAAAGAAAACTTACAAAGTGTGGAGGAGTAAATTTTTTTCCTTATCATGAACATAATTACATAACATTTCTTTTGAATTGGTTTTAAGGAAAAGGATTTTAATGAAAAGGATTAAGGAATTAGCTAAAAAAGTTATGTTCTAGGATTTTTTCAGTTAAGGTATATTCTTTTAAAAAGTTTTCTTGTAGACTGGCCTTGCAGGTTCTAGTTTTTCAAATTGTGCTTGAAGTACTACTGCCCTTCACCTTGTGAAAGATTGTTACATGTTCCACAATGTCTCATAATCCTGTAAAACTTGCAATGTTTGAAAAAAGTTGTCTTAGTGTTCAAGTATACTGAGTGATCTTAATGTATTTTTAAGTCAGAGTTGACTGGACACTAATAATTTGTGTTTTCCTCTATAAAAGAAAAAATCCAGAAGTTATTATCTTTCCCCCATGAATCAATTTCAAGTCTAAATTCTCTCCTTTGTACACTGAGGAATTCAGTATTTGACATGGTCCTGCTCTACCCCTCTGCTTGCTGAGGTGTTTATTAAGCATGTTGTAGTAGTAAATCCTTTGGTGGGCTCCTGTATCACAAGACTGCTGTGTGTTCTGGTGTAGGAGTAGCAGGGACTCAGGGAAGAAGAGAACATATTTTTTGAGGACAAGGTGCATCTTTTAACCTCTATGACTCATACTCAAGCTGAAGGTTTTTTTGGCCTCTGCTTTTCTCCTTCCTTGAATTCCCAAACAAAATTTATTGTTTTAAATAACTTTTAGAGGAGGAAGCTATTATGAGCATCTTATGTGTTTAATAGCAGGGCTAGGTGCTAGTCTTGGTCTCTGGATTTTGTACTGTACTTCTTGTTCATTGATAGTTGTCAGTAGTGACTGCTATTTTGAAAGCTACAAATCATGTTGCCCCAAACCAGCAGAGTTTTCTGATTCTGGCAGGTGCAGCTTTTTCAGCTGTATCTGTAGACTTAGTTTTTAATGGAGGGACTTTTACTGGCCCCTCTTTCAAAAGGGGGGGGTACAGGGAACAGTTTTAATTACGTTTTGTCTACACTAATTGCAATTCTGTGTTCTCCTTATTTGTTATCATTTTAGCTGACTTACTTTTTTTTCTGTAACAAAGAAAAAATCATTCATTATGGAAGTACCTCTAATAATGATGAGTGCATCAAACACAGGCTTCCTGCAAAGAGTTTTTAGGGTTTTGTGTATTGAAAGTGTTGTTGCACTTTTAGAAAATTCTCAGTTAAGTAATCCTTTTCCTGAAGTTGATTTAGATCTGTTTTTCACAAAAGAATCACACAGAATCACAGAATCACAG